GTGATGACGACGTCGCGGTTGAGGCGTTTCTCCTGTTGCACGAAGCGTCCCGAGGAGCACATGTGTTGACCGCAGCAGCTGTCCAAGAACCAGGTGTTTCGCCCGGTGGGTTCAGCGTTGGCGACCGCAGCATATGTTGGATTGACTTGAAGGCCTTGTGAGCGCGGTGGCGGCAGCTCTTCTTCGTCTGGCGCGTAGGTGGGTGGTGATCCGGGTGCGCAGTTGTCGATGTGTACCATGCAATTGATGATGTTTGGTGTTTGTTGTGCAGATGTTGAAGAGCGCCTTGGGGGACTTGCTTGAGTGGAAGCGACTTGTGGGTCTGCTGGACGGTAAACGCGAGGGCGGTTGCAGTTGACCTTGGAGTGCCCGGAAGTCTGGCAGTTGTGGCAGAACGGCGGCACGAAGGTAAGTCCCCTGTTGTCGCGTTCTTGCTTGCCGCGTCGATTGTAGGTGTTGTCGTTTCTTCGTTGAGTGTAGAAGACTAACTGCTGTTGCTTTCTTGGTTGTCTTTCCTCGAACAGATCCATCTCCTATTGTTCAGCGTGAAGCTCGGCGCAGAGGTGCATCTCCGAAATTCTTCCGTGGGCTCGAAGAAGTGATCGTGTGGTTCTCCATTCTGGCCCGAGCCCGGCGAGGACAAGTGTCACGAAGCTTTCTTCAGTGATCGTTCCTCCGCACCGAAGCAGGCGGTCGCGGAGGGTCTGGCAGCGACTCATATACTGCATCGCCTTTTCCCCGGTCTTCATCTGTATTGTTGTCAGCTGTTGCATGAGTCTGCTTTGTGTCACGCTGTCGTTTGCTTGATAGAGGCACTTGAGATGATGCCATGCGAGTTCCGCGGAGTTTCCATAACTTCGATACGTTCTGATGCTCTGCTGCTCTTGTGGTGACAGGTTTCTCAGGAGTACCGTATACGCCAGCAGCGACTGATACGTGAAGATTTCTTGTTCCTTCCCAGTGCCGTTGCTTGGGAATGGCAGGGACCCGTTGAAGTATCCCAGAAGATGCGCGGCCTCCATCAGCAGCTCGAACTCGAAGCTCCAGGTAAAGAAGTCGTGTCCGTTGAACGGTGAGGATGTCTGAAGTTTAATTACGTGTGAGAACTGTGCCTGAAGACTTAAGATTTCGTTTGGTGTTTGTTGTGATGCAGCTGCTGTTGGCTGGGCACGGGGCGGCATGAACTCGAACGTCCCCGGTGAAGAGTGATAAGGCGCAAAAGTAGGTGCTTGATTGTGTCGCCCGAAGGATGAGTTGTCGAGGCTCATCGGCGCTAATCCCATATTCCCTCCATTGCTCTGTGTTGAGTGCGCAGGTGTCCTTGTCTGCTGCTGCTGGTCGAAGTGTGACATGAAGCTGAAGAATCTCTCCATGAGATTCGGGTCCACACTTGAAGAGGGAGACGGAGTCACCATCTCCGGTGCTCTTCCCGTTGTTTCTTGAGCAGTCCCGGTCTCTGTCTGCAGTCCTAAGGTGTGCAGACCAGAGTTGCTGTGTTGAGTTTCTTGGGCGCTGGGTGAGCCCGTAGAGACTTTCTTGCCCTTGCTGTCCATGTCTTGTAATCAATGAAGTCGTTGAATTGAGTTGAGTTGCAGGTTGTTGATGGAGCGTAGTTGCTGGGAGTTTGGTCTCTGACCAGCTCTCATACCATGTTGGGCTGAAAAAAGCCCTTAGGATCTTTTGCAGAGACTAAGTCCCAGCTGTGAAGACTTGAGCCTTTGAGTAGTGCAGCGGAAGTTGAGACGGTTGAACCCTTGTACTAGTATGTGAGAACAAGTGATTAATTAAGGAAACAAGCATACAGCAATATATAGAAGATAAGAAAGCAGTTGTAGAGTACAGTTTCAGGAACGGTTTATCGAGTCGCACAGCGACTCGATTGCTACTTCGGTTACCATCCATGATGCTGTAACGGTCAGTCGCAACCTCCAGTTGCGACCTTTCGCATTCTTTGTCCGCCCCCTCGTGTAACCTCCGTTGACTCGCGTGCTCCCTTGTAGTCTTCCTCGAGTGTAGTGTTACACTTCAGAAACGCTTAAGTTCTTTGAGATATTTCCAACACAATGGAAGGCCCCTCCATACTTTGCCATATATGTTCTCGCATCCTCCCTTCTCATTTTCCGTGCTCACCTTCCACAAGCTATGCTCACCCCTCATCTCCTTTGCCCTCTCCAAAACTCTTATGCTCGCGCCGTCTATCCCATTCTCTCCCTCCTCGTGTCGCATTCTCTCCCGCCCTCTCTCACCCACGCTTGGGTTTCTGCAGCAGCCACGGAATTGATGCGGCCGAGTAGGGTGTTGATGAAGCACCCATAGATTGGTGGGTTGGTGAAGTTGTGAGCTCACATGGATGTCTGGAGTGTTGGTGATACGGAGATTGTTTGATGACTCTGCACCACCCTAGTATCGCTGCGGTGCATGTGGTGGATTCTGTTGCGCTCATATATTTCATTTGGGCACTTTGAGTAATATTATTCATGATTAGGGGAGGGGAGGCTTCTCAAATCGCTACCTGATGTATCATATCATATCTGAGAAAGGCATTTATAGTGTTGCAAATCAGCGATAATATCTCCCCAACCACTAAAAACGGCCCCATACTCCGATCTCCATGGAGGCTCTTGTCTCTGTTCACTGTAGAGGAAGGGCAGCGTGGGATAGGGGGGGATGTGCACGGTGAAGAAGTGTGTAGGGAGATGGGCATTGACGGAGAATATGGGATGGGGGGAGAGGGTGAGAATGGGTGTAAAGAGAGGGTTGGGGCATGGGAGGGTGGGCACATAGAAGGCGTATGAAGGGACCTGGGTTGATATCACGGCGAGGGCTGGACAGCCAGCGAGAGGGGGATGGGGAGGATGTTTGGCATGCCAACGACAGCTCTCTCTCCCTCCCCTGCAGCTCTCCTCTCTCCCTCCCCTGCAACTTTCCTCTCTCCCCTGCTCTACCGCCTCTCCCACTCCCCTGATCTCACTCCTCTCCCCAGCCCCTGCTCACACTCCCTCTCTCCCTCCCCTGCCTTCACTCCACCCTTCCTCCCCTGCTCGCACTCCTCTCCCCCTCCCCTGCCCTCTCTCCTGTCCCCTTTGCCCACGTTCACTCCTCTCCCCATCCCCTGATACACTACATTTCACTACATACATCCTCCCTCCCTCCCCTGCTCTCACTCCTCTTCCCCTCCCCTGCTGCCACTCCTCTCCCCATCCCCTGCTCTCACTCCCTCTCTCCCTCCCCTGCCCTCATTCCTCCCTCCCTCCCCTGCTCTCACTCCTCTTCCCCTCCCCTGCTGCCACTCCTCTCCCCATCCCCTGCTCCTACTCCCTCTCTCCCTCCCCTGCCCTCACTCCTCCCTCCCTCCCCTGCTCTCACTCCTCTCCCCAGCCCCTGCTCACACTCCCTCTCTCCCTCCCCTGCCTTCACTCCACCCTTCCTCCCCTGCTCGCACTCCTCTCCCCCTCCCCTGCCCTCTCTCCTCTCCCCTTTGCCCACGTTCACTCCTCTCCCCATCCCCTGCTCTCACCTCCCCATCCACGTTCACTCCTCTCCCCATCCCCTGATACACTACATTTCACTACATACTCCCTCCCTCCCCTGCTCTCACTCCTCTTCCCCTCCCCTGCTGCCACTCCTCTCCCCATCCCCTGCTCTCACTCCCTCTCTCCCTCCCCTGCCCTCACTCCTCCCTCCCTCCCCTGCTCTCACTCCTCTTCCCCTCCCCTGCTGCCACTCCTCTCCCCATCCCCTGCTCTCACTCCCTCTCTCCCTCCCCTGCCCTCACTCCTCCCTCCCTCCCCTGCTCTCACTCCTCTTCCCCTCCCCTGCTGCCACTCCTCTCCCCATCCCCTGCTCTCACTCCCTCTCTCCCTCCCCTGCTCTCACTCCATCTCCCCATCCCCTGCTCCTACTCCCTCTCTCCCTCCCCTGCCCTCACTACTCCCTCCCTCCCCTGCTCTCACTCCTCTTCCCCTCCCCTGCTGCCACTCCTCTCCCCATCCCCTGCTCTCATTCCCTCTCTCCCTCCCCTGCCCTCACTCCTCCCTCCCTCCCCTGCTCGCACTCCTCTTCCCCTCCCCTGCTGCATACACTCCTCTCCCCATCCCCTGCTCTCACTCCCTCTCTCCCTCCCCTGCCCTCACACCTCCCCCCCTCACCTGCTCGCACTCCTCTCCCCCTCACCTGCTCGCACTCCTCTCCCCCTCACCTGCTCGCACTCCTCTCCCCCTCACCTGCTCGTACTCCTCTCCCCCTCCACTGCACTTGCTCTCACCCCTCTCCCCTTTCCCCTTCCGCTGCCCCTGCTCTCGCTCCCGCGCTCACGCTGCTCCCTCCCGCGCTCACGCTGCTCCCTCCCGCGCGATCACGCTGCTCCCCCCCACGCGATCACGCCGCTCTCCCTCCCGCGCGCTGACGCCGCTCTCCCTCCCGCGCGCTGACGCCGCTCTCCCTCCCGCGCGCTCACTCCGCTCTCCCTCCCGCGCGCACGCGCCGCTCTCCCTCCGGCCCTCACTCCGCTCTCCCTCCCGCGAGCTCACTCCGCTCTCCCTCCCGCGCTCACTCCGCGCTTCCTCCCGCGCGCTCACTCCGCCCTCCCTCCCCTGCCCTCGCTGTTTCCTCCTTGCTTTCGCCTCAGCCACTAGGTTCTGTCGCGTCACTCCGTCCCTGCTATCGCGTCTCTCCTTCCCTGCTATCGTGTCTCTCCGTCCCTGCTCCTGCGTCACTCCGTCCCTGCTATCGCGTCTCTCCGTCCCTGCTATCGCGTATCTTAGTCCCTGCTATCGTGTCTCTCCGTCCCTGCTCCCGCGTCACTTCGTCCCTCGGGATAAATTATGCGCGGTTCGCACTGCTTAGCCGGTCGTCACGGGATCTGCGGCACTATCGCTATCATTCCTTATGGCGCGAAGTTTCGTCTAGAGCTTGGCTACGCGCGCGAGAAACCTATTATGCTGGCTAGTTTCTAGTCACTGGTCGGTCTCGCCTGGGTCCCAATTTACAAAAATTGATAGCAACTTTCCCTTAGCCATTTGTGCTGAGAGAGAGCCAGGGGTTGGGCTGCTTGGGCGAAGGTGTTTGCTTGCCCTTTCAACCAATCACGAGCCCTCTTTTACAACCAACGCGTCATTGTTCAGTTTCATCCGGGTGCATGGGGTTACCAACATTTTTGCGCCTCGATATTGCTAGCAAAAAATCTCGCGCCTTGCAACTTGGGATCTGGGCTTTAAGAGGTGGAGATATGTTCTCCATTTACTTTCATCAAATTCAAAAGTGTCGGTGCTGGGATTCGAGCCCAGGTCTCCACGGCCACAACGTGGGATTCTAACCACTAAACTACACCGACTTGTTATCTATGTAAAGTTAATATTATTGATATATTATAATAGTTACACAAACGTCATCCACAATGGATGTGATATGTCGGGCAGTTCGCCAAGTCTGCGCTGGTACCCTCATCTGCTTTGTTTCCTAGGCTTTAATAATCACAGTGGAATTTTCTGAAATGTGTTTACGTAAAAGGAATCCGCCAAACATACACGCTGCCAAACAAACACAATTCGGAACCACTCGGGATCTCTTCCCCAGACCATGCCCTTCAGCTGCCCTGATTCTTCGCGGAACGCTGATGCATGTGAACACTTCGTGTTCTCCCGCTGTTCTCAGAAAACAATTGGTAACCGCAACGAGCTAAGGGCGTGTCCAGCGCGTACGTTTTTAGTCAAAACCCTACCCAAACATTTTAGATTTGTTATCAATCCTTTGGCACCTCACTCAACCGCAATCAAACGTACGCGCTGAACATGCTTTACGGGCATGACCTAAGTGTTCGTCCGATTGCGGTTGAGTAAGATGAAATGATTTTTGCAAAGGTAAAATAACACTGTTAAACGGTTCGGCAGGGTATTGCCTGGAAACGGACGCTTAGGACACGCCCTGACGCTCTACGGTACAGTGCCTTTGTATTGTCAGTCTAGCTTTGTGTCTCCTGGTTGGGAAACCAAAACACAAAAAGGTACTTCAGCAGCACTTGCCTGTCCTGTCTGTCAGGCCTGTTATCACTGTCATCAGTCATCAGGCATCCACAGCTTGTGCAAAATTATAGAGCTAGGGAGACTCTAGAAGCTTAGGAGCTTATGTCGCGATTGGCCGCGAGCAGCAGCTGGTGTCTGCAAGCATTCGGGGGGGTGACTGTGTGTAGCATTTTATGCAGTGATAGTAATGGCGGTGATTAGGAAAACCGAAGAGTACCAGCTTGTGTCGTAGCAGCGAATGGCCGCCATTCGCAGTGACCGTTGTAGCCAGTTCCAGATGAATAATCGACGGTTTGCAAACAAGTAGACCGCGTCGTGACGTCTGCCAGTGAAATCTGACGGCTGTCGTCAAGAATGTCTACCCTAATAAGGAGCTCCGGCTCGCTAAATATGTCCCTAAAGCCGCCGTCGCGCATTCGCCGTCTACTCACCTCGCCGCACGTCCATCTCCAACAGCCCTTCGGCCGTGGCGACTGAAGCTTCCAATGCCGAGCATGGCGATAAGTTACCACCTTCGCTGAACTGACTAGTAGTAGTCGTAGTACCCTGCCGTGACTGTGCCTGAACGCACGCGGTAAACCATCTTCTGACGCCGTCAGTACCGGCTACCAGCTCTACGGCAGGTTGAATTCCACCGTCGTTTCAACCGTCACGGTAGCTGCTTTTGCTGATACATCCCCTTCCACCACCGCTTGCCATTGTCATCCGCGTCGTTACCATTCCTTTGCCACGTGGCATCCCTCCGCCAAGATGCCACCAATGGGGTGCGTCAGCAGCCGAGGGATGGAAGGGCCGGACCTAGATAGTACCGACTACGACAGCAGCACCATCTCCCGAACCACGTCGCAGTCCTCCCGAGCCACCGTGCAGTCGCCGAACGTCCAGGCTCGGCGGCCGGGATCAGCTCCGTCCGGAGGTTTGGGAGGAGGCGCTGTAGGGTTGGGAGGAGCGATGGGACAACTAGCAGGGTCGAAGCCAGTTAAGGTTAGTGGAGAGATTTTGTGCAAATTGCGACGAATCTACTTTGATAGACGTGCTTCTTAACGGAATCCGTCACATATGATGATACTGTGTATCGCCTTCCTCTTCCTGTTCTGCCCTGTTTTTTCTCTCCACTGCGTAGCCCTAATCGAAATTGCAACCCTTTTCATTGGTAACCCTATTTCGCCAGGAACTGCTGGACGTGTTCATTGACGAGGTGGAGACTTCGCACAAACGAAAGTCCAAGGGCAAAACGCACAGACGCAAAGGGACAGCAGGAGAGGCAGGGGCAGGAGAGGCTGCGGCAGCAACAGAGAATGGGGCAGCAGAAATCGGGGCAGCAGAAATTGGGGCAGCAGAAATTGGGGCAGCAGAAATTGGGGCAGCAGAAATCGGGGCAGCAGGAGAGGCTGGGGCAGCAGGAATTGGGGCAGCAGAAATCGGGGCATTGAGGGGGGAGGAGGCGATGAGAGCAACAACGGCGGCTTCAGGGGGTGGGGAAGAGGGGACAGTGGCAGTAGGGCCGATGGGAGGCGAGAAGGGGGATGTGGTGGGCGAGATAGGGGGGGACAGGGATATAGAGCGCACACCAGATGTAGATGGGGTGTTTGCAGCCGAAGGTGCGGAACATGAGGAACCGTTTTCCGTGAATAGGGCGAGTGACGGGGGCGATTCAGCAGCAGCAGCGGAAGGAGCTGCAGAAACAGCAGCAGCAGCAATTTCCGCACGGTCCATAATGTCTGAGGCAACACTAGTGCGGCCACCCCCCAGTGGGCCAGCTGGTGAGTTGTTGGGACAAGCTGATACCACGTTGGACTTCCAAACTGAGGGCTCAAGCACAGGCATTCCGCCCCTTACGGGCCTTACCTCGGTCCACACAGGCCTGGCTGATGCCTCTCCAACGGATACCCCGCATCTAGACGTTCCCAAGGGCGGTGCGGGGTTGTCTGATGATCCCCAGTTGGGCTTGGGGGCGGCGCAGCAGGTGGTTGGGGGAATGCCAGAGGCCGTGCAGGGTGCGCAAAGTCAGCAGCTTCGACAGAGTCAACGGAGTCAACGTAGTCAACGGAGTGAGCAGGGCCAACAGGGGGAAGTGGAGGAGATGAGCCCTGGTGAGGCTGAAGCAGGGGCTGGTTTGACAGGAGAGGCTGGGAGCATAGGTTTGGGGAGAGACGGACCTGTTGTCCGAACCTGGCAGGTAGACCCGGAGCACCGAGCCAAGAGCTGGCGAAGGGGTGTGGAGGAACAGACTGCCAGGACAGAAAGGAAGAGGAGAGGAGAGGAAGGAGAGGAGAAGAGAGGAGAGGAGGAGAGAGAAGGAGAGAAGAAGAGGGAAGGAGAGGAGAAGGGGGAAGGAGAGGAGAAGGGTGGGGCTAGTGTGGACTACGGCAGGAAAGAGGAGGGCCAGAGGATGGCGGGGGAGGGTGTACCCAGGGGAGCAACACTTCCTGTTGAGTATCGGGCGGCAGAGGAGGAGGACCGAGGCACGTACCTGTTTGCGATGAAACTGAGGCGCACTAAGAGCACTGGAGATGTCACTAAAGCGAATGTCACTAAAGGGGATGGCACTAAAGGGGATGTTACCAGCAATGCTGCCGCTACTGTTGCTGGAGACAACGGCTGGGGAGACAGCAGGAGGAAGGGGAGGGAAAGGATTGGCACTGTTTTTGAAGCAGAGGAGAGAGGGGGGGCTGTTGAGAATTCTCAGAAGCCTATCACAGAGGAGGGGGAGGGGATTGTGGGCGACACGATGCAGCGTGGAAGCTTCCTGTGCTTCACAATGGGAGCAGCCAACCGGCCTGGCGCTACCCAAGGAAATGACCAGCCTGCTGGTCTTGATGCTACGTTCAGTGCAGGGTCGGGGGGGGGAGGTCCCTGTCCGAGAGCAAGGTCGGCAGCCCACCATCATCCCCGCAAGTCCTCGTCCTCACCAAGAGCATCCTCTTTAAGAGCGACCTCACCAAAACCGCCTTCTCTCAAACCCCCGTCTCCTAAAGCATCTTTCTTAAACCCCTTGTCTCCAAGAGTGCACTCACCAAAGGCACCCTCGCCTGGAGCTCCCCCAAAGCTCTCCCTTCCCCCCGCTTCCCCCGCTTCCCCCAATTCCCCCTCCCTCCCTTCCCCACTCCCCTTAGGTCTCTCCGTTGCCCTCCCCCCTTCCTCCCCCAGATCCGCCTCCCCCTCCCCTCGCACCCCCTCTTCTCCCCCTGTCTCCTCCCCTTCCCGCCATCCGTCGCTTTCCCCCCGAATCTTCTCCCCCTCTCCCCGCTCACCAGCCTCCCCCCATCCCTCCGCCCTCTCCCCCAAGCCCCTTGGCGCCTCCCTTCTCTCCATCCGCGCCCCTGTAGGCGCGCAGGGGGGAGCAGACCCCCCAGGGGTTTGTGGGGGTGAGGGTGGTGCTGATGCTGAGGATGGAGGGGTGGCTGCACCGGTTCAGGGGGATAGTGCAAGGTTCAATGCGGTGATGCGCTTTGGGGGTCAGGGCAGTGCGCGGGCAGGGAGTGGATTGGTTGCAGATGGGGATGTGGGGAGTGGCGTAGCCCCAAACGTCTCTGGTGATTCCAACGCCACGACAGCAGCGGTAGCTAAAGCCTCTGCCACCATCCTGGACACAACTGCTGCACCCGCGGATGCTGCTGCTGCTGCGTCTGCTGCTGCTGTTGTAGCAGCGGGAGGTGCTGCTGATGATGATGCGAACATAGCAGTTACAGCTGCAGTTGAAGCTTCTGCTACCACCCTGGACGCAACCACTTCACCTCCGGATGCTGCTGCTGCTGCTGCTGCTGCACCTTCCTCTGCTGTTGCTGCTGCTGCGCTTGCTGTTGTTGACGTTTCTAACACAGCTGCTGCTGCACCTGCCGCTGCTGCACCTGCTGCTGCTGCACCTGCTGCTGCTGTTACGCAAGAGGAAGAGGATGAGGACGCCCTTCTCTTATCCCAGCTTGGATCCCCTCGCATCATGCCCCCCAGGCGCATACAGTCACACTCGTTTAAGTGCATCAGCGGCAGTGGCAACACCGTCACACAGCGCAGAGGCAGCTACCAGATGGTCAGGGCGAGTAGCGATCCTGGCCCTCCATCCGCATCCGCGGATGATCCAACGGCTGACGTCACCTCTCCCCGCCTTTCCACGCCTCCTCCCCGTGTTTTCACTCTCCCCCGTCTCGCCACGCCCCCCCGCCCCCCCTCGCGGGCGGGCTACAGTAAACTGCAGGTGGAGCTCGCCATCGCCACCACTGTATCAGATTTTATCGGATTTGATCTGTTTGGGGACGGGGAGGAGGGGGAGGAAGGTGGGTCTGCGGTGGGTGAATCTGGGGCAGGTGGTATCGATCCCTGGGGTATGGTTGCTGCTGTGGGAGGGTCCCTTTGGCCCATGGAGCCTCTGAGTCATGAAAAAGGAGGAGAGGGGAGAGAGGCTTCAGGAGGGAGAGGGGAAGGAGGCGGAGGAAAGGGAGGGGAAGGAGGGGAGAGAGGGGGGAGAGGAGAGGGAGGGGAGCAAGAGGCCATGGGGGAGAGTGAGGGTGAAGGGGTGGGAAAGGGAGGGCAGAAGGGTGGGAAGACAGGAGGAGGGGTAAGCAGAGGGTTGGCAGAGGTGCTCGTGATCCACTCCTCAGAAGCTGACTGTCTGGAGCGAGAGGAGCCTGTGGGGGATCCGTCAGACACAGAAGCAGGTGCAGGGGGAAGCAGAGGGCAGGCGGAGGTGCTTGTGATTCACTCCACGGAAAGTGACTTCTTGGAGGGAGAAGAGCGTGCACAGGAGCCGCTAGACAGTGTAACAGACTTAGGAGCAGGAGCAGGAGGAAAAGGGCTTTCACAGGAGCCGCTAGACATTGCAGCAGAAGTCGGAGCAGGAGCAGCAGCAGGTGTAGGAGCAGGAGGAAAAGATTCTTCACAGGAGCCGTTAGGCCTTGCAGCAGCCGTGCACGAGGTGAGTGGTGAGGATGGGACTGTAGAGGGGGTGGGGAGTGAGAAGGTGGCTATAGGGGAGGTGATTGTAGCGGCCATGGCACTGTGGAGAGAAGTGAGGGAGCATAGGGAGGATGTGGGGCTGGCTGTTGAGGGGGCTTTGGTGGATAGGGTTACCGCACGGAGTGAGGATGTTGTAACGGATGTGACTATAGGCGAGGTTGGGGGCAGGGGAGTGGAGGGCTTGGAGGGAGAGGAAAAGGGCATGGGGGAGGGTGAGGTGGAGAGGGGACTGGAACGAAGGGGGGTTGATGCGGGAGTGGGTGCTGATGTGGATGCTGATGTGGTGGCTGACGTTGGGGTGCTGAGCTGGCAGGAGGTGTGCAAGCAGGGGAGGGTGATTGTAACGGGAGCGAAGGCCCTTATGGCTCTCTTGGAAAGACTTGAATGGGAGGCTGTGGGATGTGACGTGATGAGACGGCCAGCGCCAGATGTAACCCTGCCAGGGACAGATGTTACCCTGCCAAAGGTAGATGTAACCTTAGCAGGGGAAGATTTGGTGGCACTGGCGGAGCAGCACCTTTTGCTGCTGAGTCAGCAGCCGCGTGGAGGACGGATAGGGGAGGAGGGTGTGCTTATGCGTGATGTGACTGTAGCCGGCATGACTGCAGAAGGACCAGTGGAGAGTGTAGGGCGATTGGTGGACCTCCTGTTTTTCATGGTCGGCGTTCTGAGAGTGATGGAGAAGGGGAGGGGTATGGAGAGAGAAGGGATTGCTGGGAAAGAGGAGAATTGGGAGGAGGAGGGGGGAGGGAGTGGGGAGGGAGAGATAGTTGGAAACGAGGTGGAAGAGGACGAGGAGGAGGAGGAAGAGGGGGAGTGGGAGGAGGAGTGGGAGGAGGAAGAGGGATGGGGAGAAGACGAAGTGGAGATGGATGCAGAGGATGGAGACGAGGGGGAGGAGGAAGAGAGAAGGCGTCAGGTGGAGCTCTGGCAGCGGAGTGGGAAACTGCTCGAGGCAGCCACAGAGCACGCTGCAGTGCTGGCGGGCCGCGTGAGAGGAGTGGATAGATGCTCCCTGGCAGGCCAGCAGGCGGAGGATGGGAGGGAAGAGAGACTGGTAAGCAGCGGCAGGCAGATGGGGGCTGTAGGGACGAGTGAATGCAAGGGGCAGCAGCGGGCGCAGAGGGGCCAGCAGCAGCAGGGGATGACGTCGCTGTTTGCGCTGATTGAAAGCGCCGAGCTGCTCTGGGGCTGTGTTGTCTCGTCTGCGGCTTCTGGTGGAGACGATCTGGAGCCCGGGGCCGGAAATCTCTCAGGAAAAGCAGCAGGAGCAGCAGCAGCAGCAGCAGCTTTTAGAGACCGAGCAGCAGCCCATGGGGTGCAGGTATGTGCTGCAGTGGCGAAGAACCCACCTCCCTCAGGAGCTACTACAGAAGGTGCAACTGACCTTGGTGTTGCTCAAGAGGGGATTGCGCTGGTGGCAGCAGCAGCAGAAACCGTCAGAGGGATCCTGATCAGCAGGAGGACGAGTCTAGGATTGGAGCAGCAGCAAGAACAGAAGGAGCAAGAGCGGCTGGCAGAAGAGCAGGAGAGGGGGGTTGAGCAGGAGCAGGTGCAGGAGCAGCAGCAGCAACTTCTCCCACCACCCAAACATTGGCTATCACACCTGCTGTTCTCTGGGTGGCTGCTGCTGCAACGCCATGCTGCTGCTGCTGCAGAGGCTGCAGCGATTGTAGAGGGGTTAGGGGCTGGAGGGACACTTGAGACTGTGTCAGCTCCCTCAGTTACCTCCACTCTCCAGCACAGGCTTTCGTTCCTCCGCACCCTAGTGGAAGCCTATAGGAAGCTTCTGCAAGCAGCTGCAGGGTTTTGCGAAAGTCACGGGGAGAAAGGGGGCGGGGGAAGAGAGGTGATGCAAGGGGAGTCGGGTCTGGGTGGGTCCGATTGGTTAGGATGGAATGTGGGTGTGAGGGAGTGTGAGAAGGTGTGTGAGGGGATATTACAAGAGGTCAGTCGGATGCAGGGGTGGTTTGAGCCAGCAGAAAGAACAGATGATTTGGGCCAAGGAGAGCTGAGCGTGCAGCAGGTTCGTGGGCAAATGCTGGTTTCCCTGGGCTTCTCAGGGCTGGCGGCAGTGGCAGGGGTGGTGAGAGAGGTGGAGACGAATGCAGCTCATGACCCGACTCAAAGGAAGACGAATGCAGGCAATAGGGAGGGTTGTGTGAAGGGGGGGGTTGTGGAGCTGAGAGGAGGAGGCAGCAAAGAAAGCTCGGTGCGTCCCGGAGGTCAAAGAGAGAGGGGCGGCTGAGGGGCTCAGTGATAGGTGGGGAGAGAGCAGGAGATGGGGGGGGGAGTGGAGAAGCACCAGGACCAGGTGAGAATGGGACAGCAGAGCTTGCTGCTGCTGATGAGCGCATTACAGAAACGAGTGTGCATGTAAGGGAGGCTGGAAGGCTGCTGGATCGGGTGAGGGATGTGGTGAGTGGGCTTGTTGTAGCACAGCAGTGGTTAGAGAAAGGAGGTTCGGATGAAGGAGGTTCGGAGAGAGGAGGTTCGGAGAAAGGAGGTTCGGACCGCGCCGTCCTTGTATCGCTACAGCCGCATGCTACAGCTCCAGAGAAAGCTTCGTCAGACGATTCGCAAGCGAGTTCGCATGGGGAAAATGCAGAGGCAGAGAATGAGATCTGCGAAGATTCCTGCTACAGCCAGCAGGCCGCCGCCCAGATGGTGCTGGGTGTTCTCGCGGATTCTGTCCGGCAATTTTGTCTTGTAGCGGGAAAGGGCGGGTTCAGGGATGGTGGCTCCCTTGCGGGAAGTGAGATGGGTGCTGAGCGGTGGGGAGGGAAGCTTCTGAGAAGGGCAGGGAGGAGCTGTGCTGTGGTGATTGGTGCTGCTGCTGCCTTGGCTGGCCGGGTGATTGCAGAGGATATGGGCGGAGGAAGGGGAAGACGTGGAGGAGGGGCGGAGAGGAGAGGGGGAGGAGAGGAGGGGAGAGATGGTGGGAGAGAAGAGGATCTAGGGGATGGAGTGCGAGCAGCAGCACATGCGCTAGTGCACGCAGCAGAGAGACACCTGAGACTGATGAAGGCTCTTGAGAGGGAGACGAAGCAGCAGCACCAGCAGCACCAGCAGCACCAGCAGCAGCAGCCTTGCGTGGTAGTGGTTGAAGAGGCGGACACGTGCAGCAGAGCAGCCGGCGGAACAGCGGGGGAGCTACAGGGACACCGAGCACTTGAAGCGGCGGTTGAGGAGAGCGGCGTTGGCGAGGACTCTCGGCATGAGCGTCAGAGACCGTCAGCTGCCTTGGCCCTGCTCCTGGCTCACGAGGTAGAGATGCTTGTGGCGGCAATTCAAGAACCTCCTCCGCCTGAGCTTCTCGGTGAGCTTCTGAGAAGCTCCGCCTGGGCTCAAGGGGTATCTGCTCTTGGGTTGCCTCCCTGTGTCGTTGCTCCGGAGACCACACTCCTGGGAACCGTCAAGCACGTGTGGCAGCAGCAGCAGCAGCACCAGTGCTCCAAATCAACGCTGCCTGCCTTCTTGCCTCCTGGTAGTAATGCAGTTTTGATGTCGCACGGCCAAGAGCACGCGAGGCTGGAGCTCTCGCTCAGCAGAGTTCTCTTCCGGGCAGCCCGGCTCGGGCAGGCTTTGCTGCCGCACGTGCCACTCGTTCTCCCTGCCAAACTCGCGCCCTCGGTTCAGCGGCTACTGGACTGTGAAACAGACAGCACAGCTGCTTCCTCTGCTGGCGGCTTCGCCTGGCTAGTGGGGTGGACAGAAGTCGTGGGGGGGCTATCAGCACAGCTGGTGCGACAGCAGAAGCAGGCAGGCGGGGGACTGACAGGTGGGTCAGAGGAAGGAGGAGGGGGGGATGCTGTGAGGAGGGAGCTATTCGCACAGGCGGTAGCAGCCAGAGAGCTGGCACGGGACCTCCTGATGCGGGATGAACCTGGAGCAGTGGGTGTTGAAGGGAGTGGCGCCCGTTCTGACCATGGAGCTGCTTGCTCTGAGTATCGGCCTAATGGTGAGGGTGGCAGTCCGCTACTGGTAGGGTGGCAGTCCACAACTGGTGTGCTGAGTCAGGCTGCTGCCCTGGCTGATCTGGCGGCTGTGCATGCTGAGTCGTGTGTCGAGTTTGCTGAGTCAGCAGCAGCTGGATCGGGTGATGACACCTGGCAAGACCTGCTGACTCAGGCAGAAGGGCTGGTGTTGGAAACTTCCAGGCAGCTTGAGATGCTGTGGCAGGCAAAGAAGCAGAGAAGCAGCAGCAGCCGCAGCAGCGGCAGTGGCAGCAGCAGCAGGCATGAGAAGGGATGGCAGGAGGAGTGTCCGGCAGAAATCAGCAGGCACTATGGCAGGACGGGCAGGGATGGAGAGGAGGGCGATGTGTTCACATTCACACTCCTTGTGAGGATGGTGGAGCAGGCTCAGTCTCACCACTCGCTGCTGCTCCATGCGATGCAGAGAAGGGTGCCAGGGGCAGCAAGAGAGACAGAGACTAGTGCTCCTAGTGTGGAGGCTGCATGTGGGGGAGGTGCATGTGGAGCAGGAGAGCTGGCTTGCAGAGTGCAGAGGTCAGCTGTTCGTCGCTCCGCCCTGCTTCTGAGGCATGGTGCCTCGTCTCTCCTCCACCACCTCTCCATCACTCATGCTGCCATGCCTGGCCATGTAACGGGGGCCGATCTCGCTGTGTCCTCCTCTCATGGCCCATCACCCAACGCTCCTCCTCTCCCCTCCACCATCAATCAGTTGGCCTTGTCTGCCGCAGCAACGGCGGCCGATCTTGTTGCGTCCTCCTCCCTCCTTGCAGCTCTCCTGCACGCGCTGCTGGCTGCAACCCTTGATGGTGCCGCCAGAACTTATCTTGATGCTCCTTCCTGTTCAGAAACATCAGCACCATCAGCACCATCAGCACCATCACAAACACCTGCTCCCCTGGATTCAATCACTGGTGCAGCAGCTTCAGCTGCTCTGCTGACTCAGCACCGTGCCACTGTCGAGTCACTCACCCTCTCCCTTGCTGACGTGGCAGCTGACCTGGACACGCAGCTTGCCAGACTGGCAGATGCATGCCTCCTTCGGTCTGCCTGTGCTGACGTGGCGCTTGCGTATTGGTTGCTGAGCGCAGGGCACGAGCTCGTGCTTTGTTCTCATAGCCACATTCACGAAAGCAGGCGCGGCCAGGCGGTTACCACAAGTGTTACGGTGAGCAGCACTACTGCACAGGCGGAACAACAGATTGGTGGTGTTACAGTTACAGATAGTCTGGCTGTCTCGGGTGCCACGGATCTGGCAACAGCAGCAGCAGCAGCAGCGAGCAACACACGCCGTGCTGCAGCCGTGGCTCTTAGAGCGCTGAGGCTGCTCCTGTCAGGCGTAACTGGGGGGTGTCTCCCTGCACCAGATCGCCCTGCACCAGTTGCGCCTGCACCAGTTGCACCTGACCCGCTCATGCCTCCAACTCTCTCCTCCAGCCTGCAGCAGCTGCAGACTGCAGCAGACTCGCTGCTTGGAACGCACAGCAGAGAGAGGAGCAAGACCTCGACAGGTAGTCTCGCAGCGCCCACCACCATACCCTGTGTGTCGTGGCTGCGCCTGTGCTCCCAGGCGCTCCCTCTCATGTCCGAACTCCATACACGGCTTCATGGAGGCAGAGCAGCAGCCGCGGCTTTCGCCTTGTCGAATCGCCTCAGATCCCGTCCGCCCATAGCAGCAGCCGTGCCTGTGGTCTCCGCCCTCCTGCTGCGCTGCCTCCTGCGGCTGGGGGATGCGGTGGCTCTGGTGTGGGGGGAGACAGATGGAGAGAGGGCGGGGAGGAGGAGGAAGAGGAGGGGAGGAAGGGACAGGGAAAAGGAAGGGAGCAACAAGGATGGCAACAGCAGGGAAGGTAGTATTAGCAGGGGGTTGGAGCATCAGGGGGAGCTTCACTGTGGATGGATGTACTCCAGCGATGCTGCTGCTGCTGCTGTGGCTGCTGCTGGCAATGCTGACTCCGCTGCCGCTGCCCTTCTGGTTCGTGTTGCCCCGCCTCCCCCTCTCGCCTCTGCAGCAGCATCAGCAGCAGCGGAGGTTGCACTGATAGCCGTGCTCCACCACACCCCCCTCCCTCAACCCGCTTATGGATCGGAGCAAATCGGGCAAAGGGAGGAAGGGGCGGGTGGGGTGGGGAACGGAGGAGGCGAGCAGAGGGAACGAGGGGAGGAGGGGGATGGAGTCAAAGGGCCTCTGCTGGACGGAGCACCTCTGCCTCTTCTGTTGGGCGACTTCTGTGCTTCTGTCTGTGCCAATGCTGCTGCAGACCTTGCTGCTGCATCTGTGGCTAATACCAATGGAACCGATACGACCATAACGAGTACAGCTGTAGCTGCTACCCCTGCAGCTGCTGGTGCTACAGCTCTTGCTACAGCCTGTAGACTTGCTGCTGAAGCGTCTGCACTCCTCTCCATGCTTCAGTCACTGGTTTCAGATGCAACTGCAGCTGCTGCTACAGCTGCTGCTGATGCTACAGATGCTACAGATGCGCCTGACTCCCTTCCTGCTGTCTCCGGTGCTACAGCGGCTGATGCAGATACAGCCTGCAGTGCAGGGACGTCAGCTCAGCTGGGTGTTTCTGAGAATTCTCAAAAGCACTCACCTCAGCTCCTTCTTCCAGCGGTGGCGATGGCGGGGGCGGCAGCAGTGGTGGCTCACACTGTGGTTCACGCGCTCTCCCTGGAGCTTGCTCTCTCAATCGGGCTGCAATCAGCTGGTGAGACGAGAGTGCTTGTGTGTGGGTGGGGGGGAGGGTGAAAGGGGGGGAGGGGATGTTACGGGGGCAGCAGCAGCAGTGGTGGCTCACACTGTGGTCCATGTGCTCTGCCTGGAGCTCACTCTCTCATTCAGGCTGCAATCTGCTGGTGAGATGAGAGTGCTTGTGTGTGGGTGAGTGTGTGAATGATCATGTTAGAGGGCCAGCAGCAGCAGGGGTGGCTCACACTGTGGTTCACGCGCTCTCTCTCCCTCGAGCTTGCTCTCTCCCTTGGGCTGCAATCTGCTGGTGAGAGGCGGGGGAGTGTATGCAATGCAGGTATGCACGTGTGTGTGTGAATTATCATGTCAGAGGACCAGCAGTGGCAGTTGTGGCTCACACGGTGTGGCGCATGCTCTCTCCCTCGAGCTTGCTCTCTCAATCGGGCTGCAATCTGCTGGTGAGAGGAAGTGGGCCAGCAGCAGCAGCATGCTAGAGGGCCAGCAGCAGCAGTGGTGGCTCATACAGTGTTTCAGCTCATGCGCTCTTCCTGGGGCTCATTCTTTCCCTCGGACTGCAATCTGCATTTTGAGTCGACTCAAAATACAACTGTTACATGCGCTCTTCCTGGGGCTCATTCGTTCCCTCGGACTGCAATCTGCTGGTGAGAGGGGGGAAGTGTGTGTATGCGCGAGGGGGGGTGGGGAAGGTGCACGTATGTGTGCTGCAAGACTGTCAAAAGGCTCTCGTGTCTTGTCCACCCCCACCATCAATCCCCCCTCCCTTCCCCCCCTTCCCCACCCCCCGGCCTTTTTGTCCTGTCTTTTTTGTCCGCCTTTTTATTCTATCTTCTCCTTTCTCACGTCACTACTGTTTTCTCCCACCAGAAACAGCAGAGCGGTTCAGCGCTTTGGTACAGGGAGCAGCTCACCTCTCGCACTTACTTAAGAACCACTTAGCCGTGCTCCAGCAGGCTGCAAACCAGGGCTGCGGCGCCCCTAGGTTCTTCCTCGCAATGACAGATGGTGCGGCGCTATTCGCTCGAAAGCTACAGGGCCACATAGCTGAGCTACAGGTAGCTGAGGCTAGTGTGGGGGATAAGGGGAGGGGGAAGGGGGGAGAGGGAGGGGGAGGAGGGGAGGGGGGAAGGGGGGAGTGGAGTGGGAAATGGAGTGGAAAGTTTGGGGCAGCTACGGCAGAGGAGGATTTCGCCCGGGCAGCTGGAGGAGCATTCCGACTGGTCTCAGAAGCTGCCCGGCACGCCGGGCGGCTAGAGTTGGAAGCTTCTTGGGAGGGGGAAGGAATGGGAGGCAACAGCGGACCACCCAAACCCAGGCGGCTGCTTTTCGAGCGGCATACAGCGGTCAAGTCCCTGATGCACGCTAAGAGGGTTGAGGCAGAATGGATGTGGGGGGGAAGCGACGAGGAGGAGGAGGAGGCGGATGAGGAGGGAGAGGAGGGAGGGGGTAGTTACAGTAGAGGTGAAAGAGGGAGGGCGGTAAAGTACAGTGGGCGACGGAGCAGTGGCAGGTTTGGCGGGAGCGGCAGGTATGGGGTGAGCAGGAGGATGAACATGGAGCTGCTTATAGAGGGGATGAATATAGCAGCAGAGCTGGTGTGCCACAGCCATAGGATACTGTGCAAGACCTCTGGGGCGCCTTCCTGGACTGGTCAAGTCACAGAAGCAGCTATTGCCCTTAACTGGGCAGAGGGCAATTGGCTGGGCGCCCTCCCTCTGCTCCCTGCTTCTCGTGGCTCCAACGCCTCTTCTCTCTCCAACGTCGACTGGGGTGGGGCGTTTCCTGCTCTCTCGTTTTTCACTGTCAGGCAGCCGCGCCCAGAAGCAGTGTCAGCAGCACAGGAAGGGTTGCAGGCACATGGAGGGGCAGGGGGGGTTGCACAGGTGGAGGGACATGGAACGGCAGGGGCTCAATTGCGGGTACAAGAGCCGGGGGACGGTAAAAGGGAAGATTCTGGTGGAATAACTGCTGCTACAACCGCTGCCGCCGCCGCTGTTGCTGCTGCTGCTGCTGCTGCTTCTCCGTCTGTGGTTTCTGCTTCAAAAACTGGCATTGCCAGCCCCTCTCCTCTCCTCTCCTCATCCTCGCACATGCACCCAAGCTCCAGCTGTCACTCCGCCATTCGTCCGTCGCCCCATTCTGACGCCGTCCTCCCCATTCCTCTCTTCCTTTCCTCCTCTGAGGAGGATCGGAGCAGCCTCGGCACGGACTTAACCCAGGAGCAAATTTGGAGCAGCCCCGGCCTTGTGCCGAACCAAGATCAGCTTCAGATCAGCTCCGGGCTTGACTTGGCTCGAGAGCAGGATCGCAGCAGCCTTGGCAGCGGGGGAAGTGGGAAGGGGAGAGGTGGAAGAGAGGGGAGGAAACGGAGGGAGAGGAGAAGGATGGTAAGATTGACTGGGGAAGGAACCGAGAGTGCATTAGCATCATCAGCTGCTGGGTCTGGAGGAGGGGGACTGAGGAGAGAGCACTCAGGAGGAAGCCTAGGAGGGGGGAGCAGTGGGAGCAGGAGAGGGGGGGCAGGAGGAGGAGGGGACGAGCTAGGGGCAGCAGCAGCAGGAGAAAAATCAGGAGAAGGAAAGGCAGCGAATGGTTTGGTTCGGGGTGGTTCCGGAGCTGGAGGTTCGGTAGGAGGCTCGGCATCTGGAGGTCCGGTAGGCGGAGGCTCGGGAGGGGGGGGAGGGAGCAACACGGGCAGCTTGAAACTTGGCCTCCGATCCCTCCTGGGGTCACAGGGTTCGGGCAGCTTGAACGATGCTATCAATGATTTTTTGGAGGAGTTGGAGGTTGGGGAGGGGCGGGGGAAGAAAGAGAAGGGGGAGAGGGGGAGAGGGAAGGGCAGGGAGGAGAGAAATGAAGGAAATAAGAGTTTGGACATGCCGGCTGATGGTGGTGGTGCTGCTGGCGCTGGGGGTGGGAGTGGGGGTGGTGCTGCTGCTGCTGCTGATGCTGACACTGATGCTTGGAGTATGTCCAGTGGTGGTTGGGCATCGTCCCTTGGAGGTGGGATGGAGGGAGAGGACATGGGGGAGGAGATTGAGGCGGGGATGTGGGAGGAAGGCGAGAGGATCAGAGGCAGAGGGGGCAAGGAAGAGGAGGGGCGTGAGCAACGAGGGGGTTTGGGTGGGGAATCTGGGCGAGAGGGAGAGGGGGATGAGGATGGGGAGGAGGATGAGGATGAGGAGTGGTATCGAGAGCTGCTGATAAATATGAAGGATGTAGGCTTAGGGTTTGAAGGTGGATCAGACGGCGTGGCTTTCGGGTTTGAGAGAGAAGCAGCAGGAGAGAAGGAGCGAGAGGTATGGGAGGAGGAACGAGACCAACAGGGGGAGGGTCAACTGGAGGGAAGAGAGGAGACCGGAAGGAAAGGCCCCAGCCCTTGCAGCACGGACAGTGACGCAGGCACCATAGCTTCGGAAGGTACCGACGCTGTCCCGGACCTGCCGTTTAGGCTCGGGAAGCGGTTCTACAACCTAGACTCGATGCTGACGATGCGCGAGCCTGCACAATCACCAGGTGCTGCTGGGATTGGCGCGGGGGGAAAGCTGTTTTCAGGGTATTTGGACAGGAAGGGACGTGGAAGGACCCTTATTGATGGAGCGGTGGTGGGGGGGGTGGGGAAGGTGAGGGCAGTGGGAGCGGTGGGGGTGGTGGGGATGATGGGAAAAGTGGGAAATGATTTAGGGAGGAGGGAAGGAGAAGGAGAGGGCAATGGGGGCGAGAAGGGTGAGTTTGTTGAGAGTGATAGCGGCGAGAGGAGGCAAATAGGTTCAGCAGAGGGGGGAGGAGGAGGTGGAGGCAGAAGGGAAGGGGGTGAGTTGGAAGGAGCCTCTGGCGGCATTGAGAGCGCTTCAGGGGAGAGTGCATGTGATGCTGCTGCTGATGCTGCTGCTGCTGCTGCTGCTGTCTTGGATCTTGCTCATCCGGCTTCTTCTGGTGGTGATGTTGGCGCTGATGCGGATGCTGCTTCGGCTGAAGCTGGTGTGGCCAATGATAGGTTTACTGGTGTGCAGATGGAGGAACACAAGCCACCTCCAGCACCAGCAGCAGCGGCAGCAGCAGCGGCAGCAGCAGCGGCAGCGGCACCACTACCACCAGCAGCACCAGCAGCAGGAGCAGAAAGTGCAGTCGCAGCAGAGGAACATTTGCCAACAGCTGTGGAGGTTGCGGCAGGACATTCTAAACGCCTTCCAATGGATGAACCGGCTGAACCGGATGCAAGAACGTGCGAAACGGCTTCCCACAGTGCAAGCAGAAGGGGAGAAGCAGCAGCAGTTGCAGCACCAGCAGCAGCACTACGACCAGCACCACCAGTGTCAGCAGCAGGAGAAGCAGCAGAAGCAGCAGCTACTCCAGCAGAGGCAGCAAACGCCCCTGCTTCAGAGGGAAGCATTTGCTTCCCATCAGCTGTGGTTGAGAGTCCATCCACTGGTGCTGCTGTCCCCTCTCTTGCTAGTGCTAGCACACATGGGGATGGCAACATGTGCATGTATGACCTTGCACGTGGTGACAGTAACAAAGGTGTCAATAACGAGGGTGACCATGAGAGGGATGAGGATGTAGAGGGTGACAAGAACGAAGGTGAGAATATATTAGGTTCGGAGCACCTGGACGGGGCTCTCATGCAATTTGACGAGGTTTCCCGAGCCAAACAGGCTCGGCGGCAGTGCCATGCCGAAGCTAAGGCTGCTGTGGCTGCAGCTTTGGATGCCCAGGATGACCTGGCAGATGCCGAGGCTGCATTGGAGGAAGCTTCGAAGGAAGCGGCACGGGTCAAGGCATGTGCTGAGAATGAAGGCATAAGTCATGTGGGTCTAGGAACGATGGGCGCAGATGCAGATAAGGGAGCGGAGGCACAAGCGGAAGGCGGGAAGGGATGTGCAGACGGGAAGGAGGGAGAGGAGGGAAAAGGGGGAGAGGAGGGGCAGGAGGGTGCGGAGGGAGAGGAAGAAGGGAAGACTAGGGAGGGAGAGGAGGAAGCGGAGAGTAGGGATGGAGAGGTTGGAGAGGGGGAAAGGGAGGGGAAGATGCAGGTTGAGAATGGGGAGGGCAGTGGCAAGACTACCGACGATGCATCTCTTTCTGCTGTTTTTTCTTCTGCCCAAGCTGCCCTGGAGCAAGCACAGCTCGCCCGCAACGAAGCTGCTGCCCGGATGCGCACCCAGCGGCGCCGGGCAGCTGCAAAAGTTTCGTCCCTGGAGGCCGCCCGGTCCCTCTACACCACGCTGCTGCGTGCAAAGGAAAAACGGGTAGCTGAAATAAACAGCGCTGCTTATGGCATGATTGAGGAGATGAAAGCAGCAACCAGGTGTGTAACACCTGGTGTGGTAACCCCACGGGGGGGTTCAGCTGCCAGTAGTGAATTGCCAGATGTGCGAAGCTGCTCTGATGGTGTAGAGGATGACTATAACGAGGATAATGAGGGAGGGGGTGAGAGGGGGACAGATGAGGCAAATGAAGGGGAAGGAGACAGAGACGGGGGAGGAGGGGGAGCAAGCACAGGAGGGAATGGGGAGAGTGGGAGACAAGAGGAGGGGAGGGTGAAGGGGAGGAGGGGGAAAGGGAAGAGGAGATGGGAGGGGAAGCAATCAGTGCTAGAGCATGATGTGCATGTGGCCTTGGGTCGTGATGACATGGATGAGCTGTTTGCTCAGAGGGCTGAGAATGAAGGGGAGGAGCAAGGGGAGAAGCAAGGGGAGGAGCAAGGGGAGAAGCAAGGGGAGAAGCAAGGGAAGGAGCAAGGGGAGAAGCAAGGGGATGAGCAAGGGGAGAAGCAAGGGGAGAAGCAAGGGAAGGAGAGGCAAGGGGAACAGGAGGAGAAGAGAGATGAGGGGAAGTAGGGGTAATGAATGGGGTTTTTTATTGTTATGGCATGGGGCTCTCCGCACTGGGGGTTGAGGAAGGGGAGAAGGGAAGTGGAAGACAAGGGGGAACCAGCAGGGGTGAAGGTGGGGGGAGGTGGGGGGGGGGGGGGGGGGGGGGGGGGGGGGGTTTGGAGGGCAGTGACGAGGAGAGTCGGTTAAAAGGAAGACTCGGTTGCTTCTTCTAACTTGGCAGTAGGTTCGGATATGCTTGAAATCCGCAGGATCAGCAAAAAGTTTCCTGCAGTGGCCGTTTTGCAATCAACCAACCGTTACTGAAATGGTCCGTGCAGTCTGATTTCGTGGGATCGAGGAGGCTCAGGGTAAATTCTGGAGGGGGTGTCAGACCCGAGGGTTTCACTCAGGGCCTCAGGTTTCAGGCCATTTGCCCTGATTCAGGGTTTTTTCCGAGTGGTTGCTTGTACCAACCCTGACTTGTAAGGGCCCAACGCTGAAATATGAGATTTTTTTTGTGATAAAAAAATAGAGATTGTGATTCGACTAGAAGAGGAGTTCGCTGTAAAGGAGACAAACTCCTTCATCTATCGGCAGGTCCTTCAGACCTGCCACCTAGTCTCATTTGCATTTTTCTGTTCCAACTTGTATACCACCAGCACCAGGGCCTCAGATTGCAGGCTTTTTGCCCTGATTCAAGGTAAAATCAGGGCTTTTTTGGGAAATGACCCTGATGAGACAGGATTTTTTTAAGACAGAGGCCTGAAATTTCAGGGTTTGTTTAAGAGTGAACTCTGATCGATCAGCGTGCCTAGTGTAGTGTGGCCTATTTTTCCAGAGTCGTCACGGTCCTGGAGGTCCGCGCAGCATCACTGTTGAGGGCGTCGACTCCGATGGGCGCCCGAGTCGATTCATCTTCGACCTGCATGAGGAGCCATTGGATGGCTACCCGGGTGAGGGCAAGCACGACGATTTTGTCGTGGCGTGCATGGCGCTGGCCGAAGGCATGGTGCAGAACCTGGACAAGCGGCTGGGGGACTTGAAGCAGCTGAGTGGTTCGATGCTGTTCTGTGCGGACCAGTGGCCAAAGGGGTGGGAACGTGCTCCACGGAAGGCCCAATGTCTGGAGTGGTTCGGGATGATGGTCGACCTCTACCATGCAAGGGAAGCTGAAGAGATTCTTCCAGGTATCTCACTTGTCCTTGAACCCGAGGCTTGCATGATTTGTTGATGTGGTTCCGCTCTACCCTATTTTACTAATACTTCCCTCGTTCTCCCTGTCAAACATGTGTATTTGTCATGTTTGTATAGACTGTATAGGGTCACCTCTTAGAGGGTACAAGACTTAGGTATATCTGTGTGTACTCTCACTCGATCAATAACACTTCTCTGACTTTGATATGGTATCACGCGTAGGTTAGGATCCCCCCCACCTACCGCTTCCGCTCGCCCCTCCTAGCCCCGTCGTGCCCCTAGCCCCGTCGCGACCCCCCTAGCCCCGTCGCGCCCCTTCCTAGGCCCCGTCGCGCCCCTTCCTGGGCCCTGTAGCGCCCCTCCTGGGCCCCGTTGCGCCCCTCCCAGGCCCCGTCACGCCCCTCCTGGGCCCCGTCGCGCCCCTCCTAGGCCCCGTAGCGCCCCTCCTGGACCCCGTCGCGCCCTTCCTGGGCCCTGTAGCGCCCCTCCCAGGCCCCGTCGCGCCCCTCCTAGGCCCCGTAGCGCCCCTCCTGGGCCCCGTAGCGCCCCTCCTGGGCCCCGTCGCGCCCTTCCTGGGCCCTGTAGCGCCCCTCCTGGGCTCAGTCGCGCCCCTCCCAGGCCCCGTCGCGCCCCTCCTGGGCCCCGTAGCGCCCCTCCTGGGCCCCGTAGCGCCCCTCCTGGGTTCCATCGCGCCCCTCCTGGGCCCCGTAGTGCCCCCCCTGGGCCTCGTCGCGCCCCTCCCAGGCCCCGTCGCGCCCCTCCTGGGCCCCGTAGCGCCCCTCCTGGGCCCCGTCGCGCCCCTCCTGGGCCCCGTAGCGCCCCTCCTGGGTTCCGTCGCGCCCCTCCTGGGCCCCGTAGTGCCCCCCCCTGGCCCTCATCGCGCCCCTCCTGGGCCTCGTAACGCCCCTCCTGGGCCCCGTAGCGCCCCTCCTGGGCCGCGTCGAGCCCCCCCCTCCTGGGCCCCGTCACGCCTTCCGGCCCCGTCGCACCCGCCCGGCCCCGTCGCACCAGCCCGGCCCCGTCGCGCCCGCCCGGCCCCGTCGCACCCGCCCGGCCCCGTCGCCCCCTGCCCAGCCCCGTCGCACCCGCCCGGCCCCGTCGCACCCGTCCGGCCCCGTCGCACCGGCCCGGCCCCGACGCACCTGCCCGGCCCCGTCGCACCGGCCCGGCCCCGTCGCACCCGCCCGGCCCCGTCGCACCTGCCCGGCCCCGTCGCACCGGCCCGGCCCCGACGCACCTGTCCGGCCCCGTCGCACCGGCCCGGCCCCGACGCACCCGCCCGGCCTCGTCGCACCGGCCCGGCCCCGTCGCACCCGCCCGGCCCCGTTGCACCGGCCCGGCCCCTGCGCTCGTCCCTGCCCCTGCCCCGGTCCTCCTCACTGGTACGGTTTCTCCCCCCTCCGCCCTGCACTGCCCTGCACCGTACTGCCCCGCACTGCACCGCCCCTCACCACCCTGTACTGCCTGGCACCGCACTGCACCGCACTACACCGCACTGCACGGCACTGTACCGCACGGCACCGCACTCCACCTTGCTGCACTGCCCTGCACCGCACTGCGCTGTTCCTGATGGCGGCGGAGCTTCGCTTCGACGCTGAAGGCCAGCCTCTGGAGTTCGAGGCGTGGCTTGCCGACCTCCGCCGCCAACTCACTGGCCAGCGGCAGGATGGCGAACCGCTTTCCGCACACCTTGACGGTACGCTCCCCTGCCCAGACCCCCCTGCTATTTTGCCTGCTGACTCCATCCCCACCGAGCGCGAGTCTACTGCTGCCACTGCCCATGCGCGCTCTGTCTGGCTTTCCCGCGATGCTGTCGCCCAGCTTGCCATTAGCAACGCCCTTCCCCCGTCCGAGCGCCCTCGCTTTAGGTCCCTCACCACTGCTCAGGCATACTTAGATGCTGTCATCCAGCGCTATTCCACCCCTCCGGCTGCCTCGGTGGGTCGCCTGATCCTCCCGATGCTCTTTCCTGACCTTGCATCCTTCCCTACTGTCTCTGACCTTGCTGCCCAACTACGCTCGATAGATGAGACCTGGCGCGCTGCCTGCACTGACGCACAACTTAGAGCCCACCAGCCGCCCATTACCTCTACCCTCTACCTGCTTGCCACCCGCCTCCTTGACCGCCTTGCTGTCGCCCGCGACCGCTTCCTTAGCATTCACCCCGCCGACCTCACCCTCACTGACTTTGTAGACACCCTGACTGTGATAGAGACCCGTCACCGCTCCATCGCCCAGGCGAGCGGTGCCGTGCCGGTCCCTATCTTTCAGGGTTGTGCCCCCGCTCAGTGTACCTTCTCCGACGGCTCTGCCGCAGTGGCTGAGACTGCTGCTTCAGCGCAGTTCCGTTCAGGGAAGGGCCGCCGCCCCAAGGTTGGGCGCGGCGGAGGCGGGGGTGCGGGAGGGGGTAGTGGTGGGGTCGGGTCGTCTGGTGCTGGAGCGGACGAGGGGACCCTGCCCAGTCCAGCTGAGCCGCCGCCCCTGCATTTGCATCAGCCGCAGCAGCCGTCGCAGTCGCAGCCTTCGCAGCAGCCGCAGCAGCCATCGCAGACACGGCAGACGAATGTCCTCCCGCCCGGGTGGCCCGGCGCTGGCGGTGGCCGGGCGCGTGGTGGTGTGCCGAGTGGTGGCTCTGGCGGCGGGCGTTGTCAGTACCAGATCCAGACCGGTCCTCGCCGCGGCTTCGTTTGCGGTAAGATCGGTCACTCCACTCCCCGCTGTTTTCGTCGCCTCGACGACCACTTCCGTCAGCGCTTCGGCCCGTCGCCAGACCTCCCAGACTGGCACAGTTTGCTTAGCCGTAAGATTCAGATCTTTGATATGGACATGGATGCCATTGTTTCTACTCTGCATGTGATGTATGCTGATGACTCTAGTGTGCTTTCAGCTTATTACTCACTGTTGCCTAGCGTAGGTGTGTCTAGCGTAGCCTCCCCTGCTGCGTCAGGCGTAGGATCCTCTGCTTTGTGTAGTCTTGGTGCTTCCACCGTCGTTCCGACGCCAGACGCCTCTGCTTCGCTTTCCTTCACCTTGGACTCTGGCGCTTCTCGGTGTTTCTTCCGCGACTCCACCACCCTGACGCCGCTTCCTGTTCCTGCTGCCGTCTCTCTTGCTGACCCCTCTGGTGGTCCGGTAGTCGCCCGCAGTTCAACCACCCTTCCCTGTCCGGCGGTTCCTTCGGGCTCTCTCACAGGTCTGCATATCCCCTTGTTCTCCAGGAACCTAGTTGGTGTCGGCTGCCTCCAGGACCTTGGCGTCACCACTACGTTCCCTGGCCACGAGCGGTATGCTGTCTGTACCGAGGCCGCCACTGGTGCCCCCCTGTCCACGTTCCCCCGGGACCCGGTGTCCGGCCTGTTCACTCTGGACACCGTTACCCCCCCGGCTGGGGCCCCCCCTCAGGTGGCTGCGTCTACCCAGGTTGCTGCTGCCTGCTCCTGTCGGTCCCTCACTCACCCGACTCTCCTTTGGCACCACCGCCTAGGTCACCCTGCGCTCCCGCGTCTGCGTCACATGTCCCAGCACGGTCTTGTCCTTGGTCTCCCAGGTTCTCTCCCCGCGTTTCCCTCCTCCCCCGCCCCCCCTTGCACGCCCTGTGTCGAGGGTCGGCTTCGCCGTGCCAATCACTCCTCCTCGTTTCCCCCTACCGCTGCGCCGCTGCAGACCCTGCACCTGGACGTCTGGGGCCTCGCCCCCGTCCCTGGGCCGCGTTGAGAGCGCTACTTCCTTGTGCTCGTCGACGACTTCACTCGTTACACCACAGTCTTTCCCCTGGAGCGCAAGGCCGACGTGCCTGGTGCTCTCATCCCCTGGCTTGTCTCTGCGCGTGTCCACCGCGGTCTCCCTGTCTTGCGTCTTCACTCAGACCGTGGTGGCGAGTTTGCCTCAGGTGTCCTTGGTCGCTTTTGTCGTGCGGAGGGCATCACCCAGACGTTCACCCTACCGGACTCCCCACAGCAGAATGGGGTCGCTGAGCGACGCATCGGTTTGGTCATGGAGGTGGCTCGCACCTCCATGATCCATGCCGGTGCACCCCATTTTCTGTGGCCGTTCGCTGTGCGCTACGCTTCTCACCAGCTTAACTTGTGGCCGCACCCTCAGCAGCCGCAAGTTTCGCCGACCCGTCTTTGGACTGGGTCTCCTGGTGACGCGTCTGCGTTCCACGTCTGGGGCTGCCTTGCTCACGTTCGTGCCTCCGGCACGGACAAGCTCACTGCCCGCACCCTTCCCTGCGTCTTCCTCGATTTTCCCCTTGACGCGTCCGACCTTCACTTTTACCACCCGCCGTCTCACCGCTTCTTTCACTCTCGCGACGTCACCTTTGACGAGTCCGTTTCCTACTACCGTCGCTTCCCCCACCGTGGTCCCCCGGTTACCCCCCCCCTGTTCCTGTTCACTCCTTCCCCGGTAGTCCCTGCCCCTCCTCCTCCTCCTCCCCGTCCTGCCCCCTCTGGTGTGTCCCACGTCACCCCCCTTTCGTCGGCGGACCCGGTTGAGGAGTCCTCTGACTCTGGTGGCGCTCCTGTGCAGTCCTCGCCGGCTGCCCCTCCCCCGGTGTCCCCTCCCCAGTCCCCTCCTCCACCGCCTCTGCCGCCGCTGCAGCCGTCGTTGTCGCTGCCGCCGCCGCCGCCGCCGCCGCCGTCGCAGCCCCCGTTCGCTGACTCTGGGGGTGCTCGTCCCGGTCGCCCTGGGGGTGGCCCCTCTGGGGGTGCTGGTATGGAGAGTGCCGGTGGTAGCCGAGGAGCAGCTTGCGGTCCAGGTGTCGCCGTTGCGCCGCCGCAACAGCAGTCCCCGCCGGTGTCAGCCCTTCGCCTGCTCGGCCTTCCGTCACCCGCCCCTGCACCTGTTCCTCCCCGGCCGTCTCCTCCTCTTCCTGTCTACGGCCCTGTTTTCCCTCCACCGGACTCGTCCCCGGCCTGTCTCCCCCCTCGTTCCCCTCCTGTGTCACCTCCCCTGTCTCCTGACCCGACTCCTCCGTCGCACGTCTGGTCTCACCGTCCCTCCCGTGCTCGTCCTGCCTCGCCTGTCTTGCGCTCCCACCCTATGTTGCTTCGTTCTCACGCGTCTCGTCCTCCCCTTCTACCGTCGCCTCCTCCGTCCTCCCTTGTTGTTGCGCCCCCCCCGCTGTCTGACTACCTTCGTGCCGCTCGTCCCCTTGTTCCTCGGGTCCTTGCCTCTCTCGTTACCGACCCGTCTGTTCCGGTCTCGTGCCTTGACGCTCTTGTCGCTGCTGTCGCTGACTTCGCCTCTACCCGCCGCCTTGACTACGCCACAGCTCTGGTCTCTGACCCTGCCTGTCCTCCGTCTGTCGGGGGTGCTCCTGCTCTTGGCAGTGACGTCCTGGAGGACCGCTAGTTCGAGCTTGCTTTCCTCTCCGAGGCTGCTCCCCATCTCTGTTCCATGCTGCTAGTCCCTGAGGGTGACCCAGACGCTTTCGACATCCCGACCCCTCGCACTTACGCTGAGGCGACTTCGGGACCCTGGGCCTCACAGTGGATAGCTGCCATGGAGCAGGAGATGGCATCTTGGAGATCCACCGGCACCTTTGTCGACGCAGTTCCCCCACCTTGGGTGAACGTAGTCGATGGCCGCTGGCTCTTCAAGGTGAAGCGCCCTCCTGGAGAGCCGCCTGTCTTCAAGGCGCGCTATGTGGCTAGAGGCTTCAGTCAGCGCGAGGGGGTGGACTTCTTCCAGACCTTCGCTCCGACCCCGAAGATGACTACTCTTCGGGTTCTGTTATACATAGCTGCTCAGCGTGACTACGAGCTTCACTCCCTCGACTTCTCCACTGCCTTCCTTCAGGGCAGCCTACACGAGCAGGTCTACTTGCGTCGCCCTCAGGGCTTTACTGGCACCTTCCCTCCTGGGACCCAGTGGCTCCTCCGGCGCCCCGTCTACGGCCTGCGCCAAGCTCCCCGTGAGTGGCACGACACTCTCCGTGCTACGCTTGCTGACCTGCAGTTCTTTCCGTCTTCCGCAGACCCTTCACTCTTCGTTCGTGCTGGCCAGACTCCGTTCTACATCCTTGTTTACGTCGCCGACCTGGTCTTTGCCACATCAGACAGGGACGCACTGGCCTCTGTGAAGGCAGAGCTGCTGAAGAGACACACGTGCACTGACCTTGGAGAACTGCGCCGCTACCTTGGCTTGCAGATCTCCAAGGATAGAGCATCGCGCACCATCACCCTGACTCAGTCACACTTGGTGCGCCAGGTCCTTCAGAGGTTCAGCCTTCAGTTCTCCTCTGCACAGCCCACCCCTCTGCCTGTAGACCACAGACTCTCCACTCCAGTGTCTGAGGAGTTGGTAGAGCCCAGTGGCCCCTACGCAGAGCTGGTGGGTTGCCTCATGTACCTGATGACTTGCACTCGCCCAGATCTCGCATACCCTCTCAGCATCCTGGCTCGTTTTGTGGCCACAGGCAGACACCGACCGCAGCACTGGTCTGCCGCTAAGAGGGTTCTGCGTTATCTTGCTAGTACATCGGGCATGGGGTTAGTGCTAGGAGGACGCAGGCCAGTGGTCCTTACTGGACACACAGACGCTTCGTGGGCAGACGACGCCGAGACACTCAGGTCTACCCAGGGCTACTGCTTCAGCCTTGGCTCAGCTGCCGTCTCGTGGAGAGCTACTCGCTCCTCGTCTGTTGCGCAGTCCAGCTGTGAGGCTGAGATCTACGCTGGTGCCATGGCGGCACAGGAGCTCCGCTGGCTGACCTTCTCGCTCACTGACTTAGGTGAGCGGCCTAGCTCTGCCTCGGTCCTGTTCGCTGACAGCAGGGCCATGATCCTCCTGTGCCAGGAGCCTCGACTTGAGGGCAGAGCGAAGCACATTCAGCTACGGTACTTTCTCCTGCGTGAGCTACAGCAGCGACGTCATGCTCGCGTAGTACACTTGGCCTCAGGTGCCAACACGGCTGATATCTTTACGAAGGCGCTTGCGCCTAAAGATCATCAGCGGCACTGTGTACAGCTTGGTCTAGTTCCTGTAGCCTCTCACTTGCTAGGACCTTGACTTTGTACTGTCCTTTATATGTATACTCACACTGGACTTGTGTCCTCTCCCAGTGGCTGGACTAGTAGTGCCGCCCTGCTCTTGTTCTTGCATTGTCTGTACTCCTTCTGACTGGTCTCTCAGACCCTTGTCTCAGAGGTTGGACTAGTAGTGCCGCCCTGAGCTGCTTGTTTAGGACATTCCCCTATGCAGTCTAGGGGGTGTGTCAAACATGTGTATTTGTCATGTTTGTATAGACTGTATAGGGTCACCTCTTAGAGGGTACAAGACTTAGGTATATCTGTGTGTACTCTCACTCTATCAATAACACTTCTCTGACTTTGATACTCCCTCCTACCCTTCCCCTACTGGCAGGCGTCAACAAGCGAGTGGCTGTGCTGGAGATCCCTCATTTTTGCCCTATCCTTGCCGCCCTGCCAAAGAGTGACAAGGGCTTATACACCAGATTTTTGTTGGTAACTCTGTTTCTTCAGCGCAAAATCTTTACAACACCCTGATTGATCAGCGTAAGTTTCTTTGCGAGGCATGAAAAAACAGTGAGGTAAGAGGGGGGGACCCTGAGCAATCAGCGTGCCCCAAAACGAATATGAGGCCCTGACCAGCACACTCTAAACCTCTGTTATGCCTAGATCTAAGCATAGGAGTCTCTTGTTGGAAGACGTTCTTGTTAGCGTAGAATGAATTGACTAAAATGAGGTGATCCAAGGAGATATAACCAAGGGGTTGTACTCTATATAAGCATGCACCTAGCTAGCCTATAACATATACAAATTATGTGTTAACATACCCCCTAGGCTAGACAAGGGGCATTGACTAGAAAGAGACACATTGCTTAGGGTGGCACTACTAATCCAACGATCCACGCGTCGGGTCCAGTGGCAGCTTCTCGCACGCTACAAGTTCCTACTCGCTCGAGCCCGTTCGATCGATACCAGGCCACCCTCGAGCGCCACCGCCGACGACCTCCCATTTCATGTCTCGTTTGACTTATGACGACTGGACTGCACACTCCTCTGAGGTCACGTCACAATATGTTTGGACGATCAGGGGATCCCAAACCAATATGAGGCCCTGATTTCACAGCTGTCAGAATTAGTGGGTGGGCTACATTCTGTGTGTACATCATAACAATTTCTTTAAATGCCACGTACGCCTGGGTAGAACTGCTGTCTTACGAAAGGTATTTGTGCCATTTCAATGGAGAAAAAATTGGTTTCTTGTCATATAAATGGGTCCGTAACTTCATTTTTAAATCATTACCTGGTGTACTGCGCCGAAATGAAACGGGACAATGCAGTATGGGAGCCGAGTCTCAGCCAATAGCAGGCTCACGCAATTCTGAGTGTTACGCACACATCTCAACCGCTCATTTACCCGTTTCATCCGAGCCGTTCACGCCAGCAATGGTTTTTTCAGCACGCATTCCCCATAAAAACCAAGAAAATGACTGTATTAAACCCTCTTCAATACAAGGCATGTGTGTCTTATCATATCCATTCCAGAATTTGTCTATCATTATATAAGGAAACACCCTACTTACAAGCGTATATGCTTACAAGTCGTCCCTGTCTTCTATCCGGGCGTTTACAGTGCTATTTCCATCAAATAAGTTATCACCAGCCGTACTGTATGCAAGTTTCAAACATACGCGTGACTCTCGTTCTCTAACCAAAAAGCATCCAGCCGCTGTTCCAACACAGGCCAGTCGTCTATAATATGGTATGCCGTCGTCGACTCCATGCATTCTCCGTATGCCTTCCGCACTTGACACTCTTCATAGATCATACGCTTATGACATTCCTCATGTTTCTTCTGCTCCATCTCCAGCCAAACTTCGTGTCCAAGCTGCTGCACCTCTCGGAATTCCTCATGTGTCACTGTGCCGTATGTCAGTGCGTCATGTGTCCCTTTGTCAGTCACTGTGTCACACGTCAGTGTGTCATAAGTCACTGTGTCACATGTCAGGATGTCATGTGTCACTGCAACAGCCTTCTCAAACGTCACCATGTCCAGTTTGGCAGCGACGGAGTGAAGGAGAGGAGTACAGTGATCGCCACAGTGATTGCTGCAGTTATCAGTCTCAGTATGCTGGTCAGTTAGGGGCAGCGGACCTTGATCTGGAGCAGCTGTAGCAGCAACAGGAGAAGCAGAGGCAGCAGCAGGAGTGGCAGTAGCAGCAACAGGATAAGCAGAAGCAGCAGTAGGAGCGGCTGTAGCAGCAACAGAATAAGCAGAAGCAGTAGCAGGAGCGGCTGTAACAGCAACAGAATAAGCAGAAGCAGCAGCGGGGGTGTCCGTAGCAGCAATGGGATAAGCAGGATAAGCAGGAGCAGGGTCGGCAGGATATGCAGGAGCAGTGTTGTTAGGAGCGCCAACCTCTGTCCCAGTCCCAACAGCACAGGTGAGCTCCATGCCTGCACCCAGCGCACACAGCATCTCTGCTGCACTGCTCCCTGTCACCGCAAACGCTGGAGGGTTGGCCACGGCAGCAGCGGTGCCACCAGCAACGCCTGAATCCATGCTGGCAGCAGGAGCAGAAGCTAGAGGGACAGACGAAGCCCCAAAGTCTGTCCCAGCACTAAAGGAGACCTCCGTGCCTCCAGCAATGCCTGAATCCATGCTGGCAGCAGGAGCAGGAGCCGCCTCACCTGGAAGTTTAGCAAAGCTGCTGCCGCTGCTGCAGAGGCCAAGGCCCTGAAACGTGTGCATGTGGGAAAAAGTTGGATTCGATCCGCAGCAAGCCTCCTGGAACGTGTGCATGCAGGCACTGCTGCTGCAGAAGCCAGTGCCGCAATCACTGCTGCCATCCATGCCAATCCGCTGTCCTCTGTTCTCCAGCGCGCCTTGCAGATGGAATAGCCTCGCCACCACAACCTCCCGTTCCGCTGGCGACAGAAGCGCCCCCAGCAGAAACGCAAGGTCGTGGTGGTTGCTGCTTGCCCCACCTGTGTCCTTAGCTGCTGTTTTCCACTCCTGGGGAATCCCAGCAGTGTTTCTTTCTGGAGTCTCCCCCTCCTGGGGAAGCCCCTTGGGAAGCCCAGCTGGGTCATTTAATGGAGTCTCCCCCTCCTGCAGATGTGCCATTGCCAGGCCTGCTGGGCCGGTTGGGGCTGCTGAGCTTACTGGGCCTGCCGGGCCTGCTAGACTCGGAGCCAGGTCCGGAAAGCTCTGCAGCGGCCCGAGGCTGCTCTGGTGCACCCGTTGAGGTATGCAGTTTGTCGCAGTCAAGCCTGGAGCGAACGCATCGTTGGGAGGTTGAGACCAGTCACCAGCAGGCAGCCCATCTTTACGGCGGCTGATGCAGCACTGTGGCGACCAGAGGCTGCTCTGCTGTGCCACTTCAGTAGCGCCGTTCGCTGCTGTCAGCCCCCGAGCAGAGGCATCGTCATCCGCCGGCCCGTCATGCCAGCAGCTCACGCTGGGGCTCTCCACCGCCTCAGTTGCTGCCTCGGCTGCTGGCTCGGCTGCTGGCTCGGCATCATTTGCTGGCTCGGCTGCTGGCTCGGCATCATTTGCTGGCTCGGCTGCTGGCTCGGCATCATTTGCTGGCTCAGCTGCTGTCCTCTGCCACTTCAAAGCCCGGTCACTGGACGTCCACTCTGCCTGCCAGACTTGCTGCGGAGCATGACACATGGGAATCCGCGCAGACGTGCTCCCAGAGGCCCTCTGGCCCAGAGGATTTCGGGTCAGGCCTATGCCGGCATGTCTCGGTGGATCCAACACAGCCGCAGCTGCAGCAAGGGCAGTGTCAGCCCTGAGTGGATTATTGGCGGCTTGGGATATTGCGGCCCGTGGCTCAGGGAGCGGTCCATGGTGAGCGGAGGAGCAGTAGGGCGCAATCATGGGAGCCGCCTTAGAAGGCGGCCCGGTCATGACGATGTCAGTGACATCGCCAGTGACGTTTCCCATCATGTTGTCGCCCCGGCGGCAGCGCTTGTGGCACATGGTGGAAGGGTGGTTGTGGAACCCCGAGGTTGTCATCCGCATCACCTTGCGCATCTCCACGCGCTCAGGCAGGGTGGATTCTCCAGTCAAAGAATCCGCAGCAGCAGCAGAAGCAGTAGCAGCAGTCGCGGCGGCACCGGATGCGGCGGCGGCACTGCTGAAGCCACCGGATCTGGTACTACTACTTGTGCCAGTGCCAATGGGTGCAGCATTGTGCTTCCCCCGAGGCGGGCCGGGGAGGCGGTCCTCCACTTTCCGCGCCGTGCAGCCGGTGATGGCCTTGCAGACACATGCGAAGTAGATCCTGGTAGGTATGGGTGGGGGGAGAAGGGTGAAGGCAGATCACAGGATAATCAGGTGATGGTGCCGATGGGGAGCAAACGATTGGACTGAACGAGCACGTGGAACAGCTTGAGAAAGGGAGACTTAAATCGGAAAAAAAGGGGGGGGGGGGGGGGGGGGGGGGGGGGAAAGAGAAGGAGCATCACTTAGGAAAACTGCGTGATTTCCGCATGCTTTAAGCCATTTCTGGCAGAAACGCGGTGAAATGAGAGGGAGGGGGTGCACCTTTTGACAGTCCGTTGACACAGCCACTTGTGCGAGACTTTCTGCCAGCGGAAGTGACTCGGGTCTTCTTGCACTGTCGTCGGTGCAGAGGAGGCAGCAGCGTCGTTGAACTTATTGTCATTGAATGCTCCCTCCGAGTCAGAGAGAGTGTGCTTTCCGCTCAGAGAATCCGCGATGCTCAGCGTTTCTACCGTGCTTCGATCCGCCATTACTAGACCCCCGTGCTACTGGCCGGTATTGCAAACGTTTTATGGTGAAGCATTCACTCACCACCACTGGAGCGTTCCATGTTCAAAATGGCAAGCTTTCTGGAAGTGGCTGGAAAGAGCAAGCCCCAACATGCGTGGAAAATGGAACCCTAATCCTGGCGGGGCAAGCAAGATTTTCAAACGGGACTTCGTGTTTTAGTGTCACCTTCCTCGAACTCGATTCATCGACGCACGCCGTCGTGTCAAACTTCAGCGCTGGGCAGGAAGCCATGTGACCCATTTCTATTGGCTGACAACTCCAGTCTCGAAGCTCATGTCACACCAGCTCGTTCGTAGGGTTGGGAACAACGCTCACACCGAGCACGCTCTGAAAAACCCGTTTACCTTCCCCAAAACCTGACAGGAAGGTACCTTCTAGAACGGCTTTGGAGGACGATGAGGACTACGGTACTGGTTTACGACGACTACAGTGCACTCTGTACTGTACCCCAAAGAAACAAAAGGCTTTGGGTTCCAACATTACGCGGATTGTGACGGGGACTGAATTTGTACTTCTCAAAATATGCGGGGGCTGAATTTGTACTTTCTGAATTTGTAATTTGCTGACAGATCAGCAACCTTGACCAGCTGATCTGTACGGTGTAGATCAGTTCTCGCAACCTAAAAACAGCATCTTTCTAATCTGACGCACCACGAACAGTTCTCAATCCTCAACATTAGCGGGGTTTTCGGATCTGATGGGGGTGTGGCTCGTTCTTCCGTACTTTAGAGGTGACACATCGGCAAATCGCGTTTCAGCCAAGGGTACACACCAGAATTCGTTTCGGCCCACCACCACCAAGCCTATCGCGTTTTGGCCGAAACGAATTCTGATGTGTACCCTTGGCTGAAACTCGATTTGCCGATGTGTCACCTTTAAAACCACAGGTTAGAAAACTCACCCTGAGCTTTTTGGGGGTCAGAATAAACGACCCAGACTCGAGCACTACAGACCAAACGAAAAAAAAAAAAAAACAAAACAAAACAAAACAAAACAAAACAAAAAAAAACAACTACAAAAAAAACAAGAGGCGACGAGATCGTCTTAGGGTTGCGGAGCATTTCATGATGAGACTTTATTATACATAAAATGTTTTATTTCCATCACAACAAACATTTGATTTTTATTTCACAAACTAAAAAAAAAAAAACCAGCCCGATCGATTGCAATAGGTTGCTCCGCAACCAAAAAAAACAAAAAAAAAAAAAACAAAACAAAAAAACAAGAGGCGACGAGATCGTCTTAGGGTTGCGGAGCATTTCATGATGAGACTTTATTATACATAAAATGTTTTATTTCCATATCACAACAAATATTTGATTTTTATTTCACAAACTTGAAAAAAAAAAAAAAAAACCAGCCCGATCGATTGCAATAGGTTGCTCCGCAACCTAAAAAACGTGTTGCGACAGTTTGAAACGTAGCGAAAGGGCCACGACGCACCAAACTGATCAACGACTTCGGCGGAACACGGTGCGACAAGTGTGAAAGTCGCACAATTTGTCGAATGCGACTACCACCCTCAAACCCGTCGTTCAAGAACTCCATGGGTGTGCTTCACGATTCGGAGGAGGAGATTATGTCATAGTCAGTCAAGCTTAGGAAGCCATAGCTGCCACAGCACAGGTCAAAAAAAGGAAACCGCCCGCCCATCGACGACCAACTCCCAGCACTACGAGGGGGAGGTTTTTTATCCTAAAGAAAATTATACCTTGGGCGTAATACCGACGTGCACATTGGGACGAGCTAAGATCGGCGTACAAGACATAGTGCCCGCCTAAGTTCGCGTACCAAAACTGTTGTAAGACCCGCCATTAGGCCCCACGACTCTAGCGGAGGTATATAGCCGGAGATTAAATGGCACGGGCCATGAAACACTCCCGCGAGGGGATTGGGCCTCGGATAGCGAGAAGATCGGGGGAACGCGTAGCGAGGAGAGGGGGAACGGATGGCGACGAGAGAAAGACACGTGGCGAGAAGAGGCGGGAGGATGGCGACGAGAGGGGGAACGGATGGCGAGGAGAGAGGGAGGAGTGAGAGGAGACGGGGGACGGATGGCGAGGAGAGAGGAAACGGAAAGCACAGAGAAAAGGGGGGACGAATGGCGAAGTGAGGGGGAACGGAAAGCGAGAAGAGGGGGAATGCATGGGAAAGGAGAGGGGGGGCGGACGGCGGGGAGAGGGGGAAAGGATGGCGGGGAGAGGGGGAAAGGACGGCGGGGAGAGGGGAAAGGACGGCGGGGAGAGGGGGAAAGGACGGCGGGGAGGGGGAGAAAGGATGGCGGGGAGAGGGGGAAATGATGCCGGGGAGAGGGGGAACGGATGGCGGGGAGAAGGGGAACGGTGGTTGGGAGGGCCTTGAGAGGGGAAAGAGAGGGCGAGAAGAGAGCAAGGGAGGGCACGGAGGGCAGAGAACGGAAGGTGAGGGGATGTGGGGAGAGGGGTAGTGGAAGGGGGGTAACCGAGGGAGAAGACACTAGCAGGAGAGGGTGAGGGAAGGCATATAAGATGGGGGGAAGATGCAGATGTTAGGGTGAGGGGAGGGGGATGAGAGGGGGAAGAGATGCGGAAAAGAGGGGGAGGAAAGGGTTAACCAACGGCGAGGAGGGGTGTGCGAGGGGATGAGGGAAGGCTGAATTGAGGGAACGGAGAGAGGGAGATACGGGTGAGGAGATTCGTCAGCTGGTCAAAGTTGCTGATCTGTCAGCAAATTACCCGACGGCGGAAATATGACATGCTGTCATGGCTGGCAAGTTCCACTGTTGCCGATGTCTTCTCTGGGAACAGTGAAGGCCATGTTCTAAAAACGGGGGTGCTATTGCCTGTGCTAGAAACAGAAGTGATGGGGGAAGCTTTTGTGAGCGAACCGAGAGGTGACTGACTCGGGCAACTAGGGTAGCTGAATTGTTATGCTTTCTTGAAGGCGTGACTTCGTCACCCAATGCACAGCAAGTTGCTGTGTGGTTTAGATACATCTAGTCCGCGGTAATTTCACACTGTGAAACTGGGCGGCAGAAGAATTTTCGGTTTTCACCCTGACCATTTCTGAGTGCGGAGACAGTACCCCCTAATCTTGACAGACTTCACGCGGGCAAAAACTTTGAGCAGTGCCTAAGCTGCCCTCGGGTTTCCTGACTCGAGAAACAATAAATCGAGCAGTAAACGTTTTGTATAGAAACCCAAATACAATTTGTTTTTCAAAGGTATCCGGATCTGGTCTTTAGGAGCTGTTTTCGTAGGGCCATACCCTCTCGGCGGCACCCCCTGTGGAAATACTGGGTGTGCAAATACCGCGGGCTAGGTTAATCTGCCTAAGTCATTCACCTCTCCTCGGCACGTAGGGCAGGACCTTGGTTCAACTCCTAAAATTGTTCGCTCTGACACCCTCGTCCAGCGCATCCACACCACATGTCAATTGGTTTGGTGGCACCATAGTTACAAGGGGGTCCTCAGCATTTCTTTGGCGGAAAATAGCAGTGGTGATTCTGTAGCTGGCGTGCCGCTATTTCACTACACCCTAGGCCAACAAGTATTTACAAGTTGTATAATTGAACCTCTCCGAGTTTAGCCCAGCTGGACAGAAGCACTTTCCCCATGACCAGCAGCGTGTTGAGTGTGAGTTAGTAGAATATACCATTTCGTGATACGGACATTTGCCATGGTCGGGTGTGACAGCGGAAGCTGGGACTGACAAATATACCCTATTCCTCACATCTTTATCAATACTGCTCTTGCGGGCACAATCATGTACGGGAACTACTAAAATGCGATAAAACGGACAATATCGACAATGACGCCAAACTACGGGTATCGCCAGCAACAGCTGGCATTGATGGTTGCGTCGAGCAGCTGGCCGAACGTTATTGACGACGAAATCAGTCGAGCGGATGGCGCGTGCGCTCCAAGCGAAGCCCTGGTTCCGTTGAATCCACCGCCTTTGGTGGAAATTGGGCCTATGTTTGACGGATAAGTACCCGGACTTTGATACTTTAACGGGTAGTTTTTAACCCGTTAAAGTATCTAAGTCTGTGTACTTTTCCAAGGGTTAACGGGTTGATTCTGGCTCGAAAACGAGCTGTAAGCGTAGGTTTTGAGGGATTTTGGCCGAAAATCTGACTTTGACGAGTACGACAGGGGCCGAAAACGGACTTCAACGGGTGGCTTTGGTAGGGAGATCGGATCTGACAAGTGGCTAAAAATCCAATCTGAACCCGATTCTAGGAAGTTCAAACGTCCAAAACTGGATGCTTGGCAACTTTGTCCGAATTTGTACAATACACGGTTGGCTGCCCCACAGTCTCGTCTCGTTATTCCTTCCACCACTTGTCGATCCAAATTGCGAGGCCGTTCCCAGCATTAGGCTAATACAGTATTTAACCATTTGTACATGGCAAATTTACAATGTTGCAGTAATGCATTTATGCCTTCTTGGAAGGTAATTAGGTAATAGCACAAGAACCTATGAAAAACATGGGAAAGAATGTCTGATTGTGTCAAACCCTAGCAAATCAAAGAATGAAATTATGTGTTTTACCAGCGTTGTCAACAACGAATCTTGATTGAAAGTGGCCAACTGTTTCGGCCAGCAATAGAGTGTCTGGTTGGTGTGTAATTTCTGATTCAATTTAGAAAAAAGCAGGCCTATTCAGTGACAATGGTGTAATTAACGGTGGGAACCTTGTTGGCCTCTCAACACAGGCATTCGTGAGCTGGCACGCGACTTCCACAAACTTCTAGGCCCATGCTATTCCTTATTGGTCTCATATACCCTTCCCTACTAGTTTGGAACCAACTTTCCACATTCGTTTTAGGCTTTTATGAGTTGGTTATTGCAGTCTCGAAACCGGCATATTTGGCAAGCCTTTATCAGGCACTTTTCTAAACCGTAACCCTTGTGGCTGAAATGCTGGAAATTGTATCAACTTATACATATGTGTTATACGTATAGTTATCGGCTGGATGGGCAAGTGCTCTTAGAGAGTACAACACCAAACCATATATCCCACACGTATGCCTTGCTAGAGTTCACTTAACTATTATGACATGGTATCACGCTAGGTAGGTCCTCCCCATGCTTCCCCCTCCCCCAAGCCTAGCCTAGCCTAGTCTCCATCGCTCCTAGGCTCCCTTGATCCTAAGCTCTCACGCGCCAGCCGTGGCACCAGCTGCGCTAGCCACACCAGCCGCACCAGTCACACTTGCCGTGCCAGCTGCGCCAGCCGTCACCACCGGCACCAGCCGTCACCGCCGGCCCTAGCTCGGCGCCGCGCCGGCCCCAGCTCAA